GTGTGAGGCTGAGACTAGGTCTGGCAGTGGGCGTGTGATGCAGAGTCCAAGGCCTGCAGTCTGTGTGTGGAAGAACCTGCGTCTAGGAGAGAAGGGATGTGCCGGGACAGACGTGTTCAGGTGATTTTCGGAAGGGGAGAATTTTGAAAAAAAATTGAAAAATTTCGAAAAGTCAAAAAATGATGGAAATTGTCTAAAACGCACACAAAACCAATCATTTTCGAAAATTTTGAAAATTATTTTGAATTTGAATATTCGCAATTGTTTTGGGAAAAATAAAAATTATAAAAGTATCAAAACAGCTTTGAATGAAACACATCTGAATATAAAACAGCTAAAATATGCTAAATGTATGTAATAAACAAAATATGTCAGCCAGTTCCTTAAATATTCAAATAAATACTACACTATAAAATCAACTGACATTTGTTAAAATTTTAAATGTATGCTGGTACCAAAATATTATCACATCACATTCAATGATCAAGTAAATAATTATATAAGAAATATTAAAGAATATTATATGTGTCCTATAGAGACACTGTGATGGTATTCTGACTTTATTTTATGTAATTTAACATATTTGTAACTTTTTTTAATTTTCATTGAATTATATTTAAGGAGATGTCTTGCATGCAGTACGGCCCATTAATGCCCATAAGAATGTCCAGTAATAATTTCACATGCAGCTTACCATGTTCATATGCATATTCAGCAACTTTAACAGCAATCTTAAGAGAGCACTTTTGAATAGTGTTGAGTGGTGGATACAGGCTTCCTCTGTCCAAATCCTCTTCAGACACTAAAGCAGCCAAAGCCTGCAAGTTAAAGTTAGGAGTGGTTACTTAAAATACATTTGTCTAATCTTACAGTGGGCGTTGTTCTGACAGCCAAGCTCCTACGAATACTGGAAACCTGAATGCTGGTCCCAGTGGCCATGAGGTCCACATTGCACATGGTCTGAAGTTCCTAAAACAATGGGACTGTAAATCTGAATGCCACTTGGGGAACGGATGCTTCTCTTTTCTTTCTACATTCTGTTTCTGTAGTGTATGGGACTGGTACCAACCCAGCATTGTGAGGAAATTGGGGAGCTACAATGAGTAGCGTAATCCGGTCAAGAAAGCTAGCAATGGCTGGGGGTTCGTTGTGCTGACCACACGTCACCCTATATGTGGTTGGATGATCGTTCACCTCTGCTTAGGCATGTGAACGTGAGGCCAGCAGTCAAGCTAGTCGGCTTTGGCTCTCTGGAGCTGTTACGCCACAGATTTTTTTTTTTTAAACACCTTAATTTATATTAAACTATTATATATTTAACTCTAAAAGCAAGATTTCTACTCAACATATTTACTTTTCATTACGTTAAAACAACGAATTTATATGTTGAAAGCATTCATTACTCACACCTGGCTAGTGGCAATAGTAGGACCAGGTGTTATTTAAACATCACCTACCTGAGCTGCAATTAGGAAAATCTCATCACTGATGTGGCGGATGCCAGTACAGATGACACCCAGAGCAACACCAGGGAAGATATATGAGTTGTTTCCCTGTCCTGGGAAGAAGATTTGGCCCTTGTATTTAACAGGAAGGAATGGAGACCCACTTGCAAATACGCACTTGCCCTGCACAAAATGCAAATTTAACTTCAATGATACACACAAGAAGACACAAAAACAACACAATTTTAATGTAATTTAAGAATTTGTGGTTTATTTAACAATGCTGTCAGTAACTCAGACTACAGCATAAAATTATGTAATGATCAGTCAATAATAAATTGGAAGGAACTTATAATATAATTTTTACTCTCTTACTTATAATATAATCATTTGAGAGCAGGCCAAATCAATGTTACCAATAAAAGAAAGAAATATATTTACTTCATGAAAAGCAAATATAAAACTTACATAATAATCTTAAGACAATTTAACTTTTCACATATGACGCATTTTCTTTGAGAAATTTCTTGTATATTTCTGGAAAACTCTCAAGTTTAGATCGTGATTTATTTCTTCAACTTATGTTCTTACATTAAATGGGTATAAATAATCCATTTACAAGTACTATTAGCTTCTCAAGGACTGTTTAATGGAGTTTTGTCAAACAAGTATCATCAGATAATTTTATAAAGATTCAGTTCAGTTTCCTTTCATTGAGTTTAGTGCTAACCAACTTCAGAAAATTATAAATATTTTAAATCTTCTTACTTGAATTCTTTCTTTGGCAACAAAACAAATTGATGCTAAACAAGCTAGAAGAGTTAATTCAGTTATGTAGCTTAATGCTGCTATTTCATATTATTTCCAACGAAGGTGTCGATGGAAAGACAGGAATTATGAGGTGATAAGTAAACTTACATCAGTGTTTGTATAGGCTGCCTCTGCTGTACATTCAGCCTTTGTGGTTGGATTGCTAAGAGCAAACACAATGGGGCGCTTGTTGAAGGAGGCCATATCACGCAGTATCTCTGGGGTGAAAACTCCTCCCACGGCAGCAGCACCTGTTAGTAAATTATTTGCAACTGACAGTGTATCTGAGGGAGAAATTCTATTTTCCTGCTTACAGTTCATTTCAAAGCTTGTGTATTTCAAACACATTATACAATTAACCTCATTTAATACCTGTGATCCTCTCGCTACAGGTCGAAGACTTTCAGCAATAAAACCACTGTTTATGAACCGCTGTGTATCATATTCTGCATGTACATATCACAGTCCTTGTAAAATAGCACCCTGCCCTTTTTCAAGTTGTATCATATAAGATGTCACACACCGGATGTAAGCAAAATGGAAAGTGAAGACTTTTTTGAAAAAGGGGCGGTTATCTCAAAATACCCAAATACTTCCTCTGAGGTGTACTGAACAAGCACCACACCACTGATTGATTGCCTCGCAGAAAACATTTACCAGGAGATTGCCACCATTCATCCATTCGTGTTACAACATGTATTCACCAACCTGGAACTTTGGTTACTTGTCAATGCCAGAGAAAACTGCTTTAAGCACATTATGCGAAGGGCTGCAGTTTCACAAGGACTGAGGTATGTACATACAAAATTTGATCACCACTGGAGTTGGAAAGGATATGGAGGAAGTTCTTGTGACCTATTTTAAGGTACTATATAAGAACAGCATCTGCTTAAGAAAAATTGCTTCAGACATATATTTAATGCTGCACTTAAAATCTCACCTATGATAACAGAAGGCTTTGCTTCTCTGATTACGTCTTTGAGGTTCTTGATGGGAGTATGGTTCCTGGCATAATGCACCTTGTGACCTGTTACTCCACCTTCTGGCCTATCTTTAACAATTAACCCCTTTGAGTCTACCATCCAAATCTTGTCTCTGGCATCCTCTATTGATGTACCCTCTGCCTGCATTGCCATTACACACAGTTGAGCAATACCCAAGGAAGCCTGTAAAAGAGGTAAAGCAAGAATCTATGTAAACATCAGCATATGTCTGAAATGGAACATTTACCCCTTCGGCTGAGTCTTGAATTTCTTTCTTTTGTTTACGGTTATGTAGTTGGAGTGCCTGTTAAAATTACTCTGTTCATCACTCTATCTCCATGCAGATAGACTAACTAAAGAACAGATGTATCAGTTTTGATTAAATTTTATGAAAAACTTGCCAAGTCATTTCAGTTTTCATTTTGATTGGACAATTGTAACAACTACTTTACATGAGAGCATAAGACTGTTTTGATGCAATGTTATCATTCCATGTCAATTTAGTTCTGCTTATGCCCGTCATTTATAACTTCTGCAAACGTGCCTCTTAATTGAACACTGTATACTAACAATCTTGTTAAATTCATTAGTAAAATCTGTGTGAATGACATCAAGTTATTTTATATCGTTCTGTTCTTGCTGCCTCATTGAAGATGTACTTAGAATTTTACATACACATATTGCCTGAGGATAAGGTTAGATCAAGTTAATTAGCCACAAGAAGTTTTCCTAATAGTTTTCAATATTAAAATGGTCCTTAAGTTCTTTTGGTAGAACTCATAAAAATGGGTACTGTTCAATCTCTGATAGGATGACTGTAACCTAATATACCTTGTGTTGAAAACTATATACAAAACACAATATAACTGACTTCACAGTGCAGGATATTTTATGAACACTTGATAGTTATTCAACTGGGCAAGGTATTTTCTACTCTCATGAAATCTGAATTTTTTTACATGTTTGTTAAATGTTTGGAAAATCCCAAAAGTGGATAATACTATGTGCTAGCCCAAATCATTTCACAGCCTTACCTTCCCCACACATCTCATCCTTCTTGATTTAAATTTCTTTAACAACAGAATTATAAAGCTCTGAATTATGTAATTTCTTATATTCTTTCTCAGGTCCAAAAATTTTTCTGAGCACATTTTTCTTCAACATCCAGAACTTAGTTGTATAATACACCCTTATACAGAGAAACTCTGATAGCTGTTTAAAACAATAAAAGTTTGCATTATTTATATGAACATTTCAACAATAAAAATTAACTGAAATTATAAATGTTCAAGCTAACTGATTTGAATTTTAAATAACTTCTTGTATGAAGTGGAGTAAACTAGTTTGAATGTTGCTTTCAGATATTGAAATGCCTTGTTATTTGGAAGAGATATTAATTTCTTTGGAAAACAAGTTATTGACAAAACATTAAAAATAACATCCTGTCTTTTGCACATTTTTGCAAGCTGTAGTTAAGAAGTTATCATTTATAAGCCCAGGAATTTGAATAATTTATTTATATTCTCTAAAATTATTTCTCAAGTTCTTCACCTCCCCAGCACCCTGGAAAAGGATAATGTTGTCTGACAGACGAGTGTCGGTAATGCGGAGAGAAGCAAGCAGCCCAGCCACAGCAACTGATGCTGTTCCTTGGATATCATCGTTGAAAGTGCAGTACTTTTCACGGTACTTATCCAGTAAACGGAATGCATTATGATTTCCAAAATCTTCAAACTGAAAAGTTATAAAATAATATAAATTAAAACTTCTATGTAGTAGACACCTTGTTTCACATGGTTAAAGTTAATGTGATGATAAGTGATCACCTGAATTAGAGTATTTTGACCATATCTCTTTACAACAGCCCTCATGAATTCATCAATGAAATCATCATAATCAGCACCTGTAATTCGCTTGTGCCTCAAGCCTATATACAGTGGATCATCCAGAAGTGTCTGAAATAAGAAACATAAATCAATATTATTAATTGATTTTATTCCTAAGTAAAATGAATGACTAAACTTTCCTCTTCATTGCATTTCACTATCCTGCAGGCATAAGAAAATTACTGTGTGGATTCTGCTCACTCAGATTCAAATAAAAATAAAGAACGATATAAATGTATGTTATTTGCTGTACAAGTATATTGGATTTAAACCTCTGAAATAAGGGGCTGCTGGCTGGACTTTACTGTGATACATGGCCATTAGATCTTGTGTAAGTTCTGACACATATTCAATAAAGACTAATAATCAAAAGGAGTACCACATTCATTAATTATGTAAATGTAATTATTTTTATAGGCTCGTGATTAAATTTGATGAAGTGAACTGCATTAGAAGCAAGATGATCCAGAAATCTTTGGGAGCCCATTCTCATACAAGTCTCTTTTCTGGCCTACAGCAAACTCCACAGAACAGGATCTTTCTACAGAAGGTAGTAGTTACTCAGTTGACGTTTATGGAACTGGAATATTCATTACCATGACCACAAGTGGCTATCACTGGACCAACAAAATCCAGTGCACACCTCCACTCTCTCTATATTTAAAATCCATTTTAATGTTATCTTTCCTTCTGCACATATGTCTCTTCTCTTAGACACTAAACAAGAAAATTCTTACAGGACAACTGCTCACCTGTGTGTTTGTGCCCACATCGAGAGTGATGGGCAAACACTGATGTGGCTTGATGCCCGCTAAAGCTGTGTAAAGGGCTAACTTGCCCACAGGAATACCCATACCATATGCACCCAAATCTCCCAGTCCCAGAATTCTTTCTCCATCAGTTACAACAACGGCACGGACATCAGATTCAGGCCTGAAAACACAGTTTCAAGCCTTTTTTTACTATCTAAGCATAAACAAAGTTCTTCATATTGACATAGAAACATAATTCATACACTGGCCTATAAGTAGTTTTCAATTATCATAAAGAAAGGGTAAAATTCTACTGAGCTCAAAATATATTTAATTCTAATAAAGCCCTCCAAAAAAGTTTCTACTCCAGGGCCCCAAAATAGTCATGTAGGACATGGAAAATATAACTTACTTTCTGCATGGGCACTGCTATTGACTAATATGTCATCTTACACATATCTGGTTTCAAAATGTATTTGTAATCATTTAAATCGTCGTGATTAATGTTTATATTAATGTAGTATCATAAGGCTCGAGCTCAACTCCTTAGCAAATGTCAGTACCTTACCAATTTCTGAGGACATCGTACACATGTCCACGGTCATGAATGGTGATGAAGAGTCCCCTTGGTCTTCGATATATGAGACCATATTTCTGACAGGCCAAACCAACGGTAGGTGTATACACAATGGGCATTAGCTGCTCCACATTCTCTGATAGAAAGCGGTAAAATAAACGCTCATTTCGATCCTGAAAAATATAAACATGCAAAACTGTTACAAAATGGAGCAGTAATATGAAAGATGGATTCATGTAGGTTGCAACAAAGATGCTTCAAGTAACCAAATTGATAGGGGTCTCCATTGACATGAATCTTAAGCATAATCCAGACTGGATTTTTCCACATGCCTTCCCCATCATTTACCTCTGAAAAGTCATCTAAAAAATAAGGATACCATCATGATTCAGAATATTTGCTGAACTGTGCAAACCTATTTTAGAATTTATTAGTTCATATAGTTACTAATCATGAGTTGTCAAGGACTGGGAAGATAAGAAAGGAGTAGTACACACTATATATTGTATCATTCTTCTCTTCTTTCTTACGCCGTCTCGTTTACAGGAGGTTGGCGACATATTATGAACAGGATCCTTCCATCCTCTTCTCGGACTGGGACTTGTTCATATATGTTTTTTAGGCAGGTGATACAGAAGTGGTTTGCCATTGCCTTCTTCTGTGTGTAAGGAGTAATTGTTGGGATGCCACGGAGAAACCGGGGAAGCCCCCGGAGGAAAACTCCACGGCCTTGCCCAACACAAGTTATAAATTCGGGCACCGCCGGGAATCGAACCCAAGACCCCAGGATTACAAGGCCAGCGTTCTAACCGCTAGACTACCGTGGCGGTATTGTATCAATAAGTAGAAGATTTTTATTGGTAAAAATCTAGTTGACCAAGTTCTGGAAATAAGTGGTGGGATACATAGAAATGGTAATGGTAATTTTTTTTACAAATTAGTACATTGTTTACAAGGACTTCCAGGCATGACTCATAAAGCCTACTATTCTTTCACACTGACTTCCAGACCTACAGATTTTGGGTTGTTAATGTTAAATTTAGGTTTTCCAGCTTATAACTCAACACAAAGAACTTAGCTTATTTACAAACACATGCAAGTTTGAAACTCACATTACTATGGAATGACTAGTCGACATATACAAGTGTAATAAAGAATTTTTTAAAGGATATAGCATTTAGTGCTATATATAAGTTCTCAATGGACTGGATTTTATATTCATGATGGTTTGATTGCCAAAGTCATTCAAATGATTTTACTGGGTTTAGCAGTTTACTACATGATCCAGTGCCATCTAGTGCTGAGGTTAAGAATTCATGGAGCTATACCTCCACTCTCCGATGCATCTGCATATTGAAGTGCTTATTTAAACACCAGGGATAACTTTACCTTCACTTCACATGATCCATTACCAAATTCACATGACTGCAATACAGAAGTGTATTTGAGCATGCTTCAAGTTATTTATTATAAAATGTACTTAATCATTAGAATTTCTAATGTTTCATCATTGACATTGACATTGAAGCATTATGATTTTGCTATATTATTACCTGTAGGCCCATGAGATAGATGTACTTGTTGAGGTCCTCAGGATATCTTTCCACATTAAGACGGCATAATTCCAGCTGTTCATCTTGAGTCTTGAACCGTGGAGGAATCAATCCATGGATTCCCAACACCTGGCGTTCTTCAAGAGTAAAAGCCATTCCCTAGGAGAAATAACAGTTTCCTTTTAGTTTAACTGTGTTGGGGATATACTGTATAAAAACATATTAAGCAGGAAGGAATGATGATAAATTGTAATAAGTGCAGAATTCTAGCTAAATGAATGGCAAGAAAACAATATAAAACAAGAAAAAGGGAATGGTTGTGGTTTTCTGGGTTGTAACACTGTGTAATAATGTTAACTAAATATTTGGAGGAACATATCACCTCTGTCTTAGGGTGTCATAACCCAAAAGACACAATTGCCTGTTTATTCTTAGAATCATACAAAACTCAAATACACTCTGTGGGCAAAACACAACTGCTGAATATTAAGGTAGTTGGTACATGAAAGTTACAACTGTGCTTTAAAAAGTTAAAAGTATAAATTCATGGACTTCCAGAATGTAATATTTGTTTTCCTGCTTGGATCAATTCTGCTACATTGTTAATAACTTCAAATGTAGTTAATTTCAATTCTTACTACTCATAGTAATATCAACTTCATCAAAAGTAGGATCACATGTGTTAGGGCGAGAAGAACTACACTAACACACGTACATTTAATGCCTAATTATAGTAAACTTTCTACCAGTTCAGAATATTGTGGGAATGTATACCCCATGTTGACTGTTACGCTCATCATCACATGTCAATATCCATTTTGAAATTCGTTCATGTCTCTATAGGAGTCTGAAGTGTTTCGGTTTTGCTGTTTGAAGTTGAAGATAGGAGTATCTGTGCCTAAACATTACACCATAAATGCATGAAGCAGATATTATTTACGGTTTTTGAAAAGAACATTTACGACGTTAAACACGAAATAACGAATGCATAAATTAGCACTTACTAATCGGATCAGCTAGTAACATCCTCATTTTGCCAGAGTGCAAACAACGATAGCTCATGCAATTTAATGGTCACAGTTTACTGCACGCCTTCAGACAACAGTGTTGGTGCCGCGTTTCACTGTTATGTTCGTCAAACAAAAGACTGCTTCGTGGCGAAATAACGAACGTTGAGTTGGGGGGAAAAAAATAATAAAAAATAAAAAAAACCCTTCCAGTTTGTTCCTGGGATGTGAGCATTTCCACAGCTAGAACGTAATTCGAAAATTAACTCGTGCTAAAGACTAATCAGCTGGGCCTATACGTTACAAGGTCTTCCTTCTATAGTGCATTCACTTATAAAATTGAACGCAAGTGTCACTTCCCTGCTCCCGGCGGGAACTGCACGACTCACAGCTAAGTGCTATAAGGTTTTCAGTCAATTTTTTTTGTCATCAGTCTTTCGACTGGTTTGATGCGGTCCTCCATTTTCGCTTATCTTGCGCCAATCTCTTCATTTCCACATATTGTTTGCAGCCCATATCCTCAAAAATCTGCGTCACATATTCCGATCTTTGTCTCCCCCTACAATTCTTCCCTTTAGCTGTTCCTTCCATTACCAAATTAACCAATCCTGGGTGCCTCAGAATGTGTCCCACCATCCTATCTCTTCTTCTCGTAAGATTTTTCCATAGACTTTTCCCTTCGCCTATCCTGTCTGAGACGAATACATTTTGTATGATCTGATGCTTTCACGGCGACGAAGTTAAATATATTCTTCTCGGGCTACCAGACGTTTAAGGTGGCTAGATGAAAAAAAAACACCAACGTTTCGAGAACCAACTTCGTCACTGAGGACGAGGACGAAGATGGTTCTCCAGTTAGGGCTATTAGCCGTGTTCTCGGATTGAGATATGAATTATGCCAGCAACATTCGCGCCACTCATCCTATATACTTCTAATTATAAAATTATCGATTGTAATGGGAGCACCTGTCCTTCACAACTTAGTAATTACAACCCACGCGATGAAGTAACATGCACGATTGTTTCACAAACGGACATAAAGTTTCGCAAACCACTTTATAAAATAAAACCTTGTTGCTATGCAACACAGTAGACCTAATCACGGAAGGGTGATAAGAGCGTATCATGATCGAATAGGTGATCCTAAATTACGACATACATTTACTCATTTCTGTCGTTCACTGTGAAAACTTATATTTCAGATTGAAATTAACACAGATTAGCAATATGACACAAGATAAATCATTTATTGCAAAAACCATTGCCCACTATAAATTACAGCGACCAGACTTCGTAGCACAATACTCGTGTTTTTATAAGGACCTCAGAGTTATATTTTCTGATAAAACGATGATACAAACTTCAAGGCTTAAATATAATTTCTATAAATTTGCATTTAAATCACCAGTTCTCAGTCTTTTAAGATCAGGGACCGTTTCACTCTTTCTTGTTAACCCCCTAATCTCCGGGTTATAAAGGACAATTTAGTGAAACTTCATGGTAATTTACTAAAAAAAATTGCCAACTAACTATGGCATACACGTTAGCACACATCTTTTATTCAATCATATTCAAATGTCCATTTGCTATTTTAGTAAGCATTCTTTTAAATATCCGACTTAGGCGGTGCTACTACGCGGGTCACACAAACCCCTGACGTAAATGGTAAAAGATTGGCCTACTACTATTATCTTTCGACAGTCACTATTGTACCACGGTTGAGAAACACCAAAGGTGCATACGAATCCTGTCAGTAGCCAGCTGCATGTATTAACCGTCCAATTACGAACTTAAATATTACGCTGTGCAATGTAACACAGTAATTTAAATATTAGTTTCGGCTTCGGCGTGCGTTGGGAGATAAAATCAAGACCGGTCAGATATTCTGGACATGTAGCATGGCAAAGATAAGAAATTAACACAAACGTCAGTCGGAAAACTGGAAGGAAAAAAGATCATTTAAGAGATCCGAGAGATACGAGGATAATATTAAAATGGATCTCAAAGCTAAAAAAGTGTAACGCTGTGGAGAGGATTAATGTGTTTCAGGATAGGAAACGGTCTGTTTCGGGATTTTGTGAATACGGTAATGAACATTTGGATTCCATGAAAGGAAGGTGACTGAGCGAGCGACTATTTGCTCTATGGATTTAGTTGTAATACTCTGAAACTACTTTGTTTCTCCTGTGTCTATAATGAGCTTGTATTTTAATGATTAAATTAAATTAAATCCGTGGCGTAACAGCTGCAGAGAGACAAAGCCGACTAGCTTGACAGCTGGCCTCACGTTCACATGCCTAAGCAGAGGTGAACGATCATCCAACCAGATATAGGGTGACGTGTGGTCAGCACGACGAACCCCCAGGAATTGCTAGTTTTCATGACCGGAATACGCTACCCATTGTACCTCCCCAATTTCCTCACGTTGCTGGGTTGGCACCGATAACATACACTGGTCGAAAGCTCATGAGAAACTTTCTTCTCCCTCGAGACTCGAACAAGCGCGCATTCCGTATCGCCGGTCCGAAGCATGATGCCTCAGACCTCGCGGCTACGGCGCGGGACGTATTTTAATGATTAATGCGTGTATTTATAGGTTCTTAATTTATGTGACGTTATGTACGTAAAAGTGTTATTTCGAACCCCAGAGTTTTCAACACACTAGAATATAACAAGCAATGTTTGCTGAATCTGTTTTCGAAATATCCATTTAAAGATGGACTAAGAAAGCGTAGTGAAATTCGCGTCGGTGAGACCCTTCTTACATAAGGCATCACGGCCAGTAATGCTGGCTTAACGCACCAGTAAGTCATGCCACGTTACCGAGGAGGACATTAACTGTGATCGGCAATTACTATCAGAGAGGCGTGAGGGGGGAGTAGGACAGAGGCCTCCATTAACTTATAGTTTGAAACATGCAAGGTTATGTTAATTCGTAAACAATAGGTCTATGTGAAACAGGAAACAACAACCGTGGGAGTTAAAGTGTTCGATTTACTTCGAAGCTCTTTATTGCATGAGACTGAGCATTATTTGAGTTTAAACTGTTCTTTTAACTTCAAAATTCATATGTCGGAGTATTAAGCGGGAATTTGACTGGAGGGGCTGAAGAAGAAAAGGATGATCTTATTCAGAACGATGTTCGAACAAGAACCCTCCAAATCAGATATCGGGATCTCTACCGTTATACGTACACCAGGCTGCTCGGTAGTAATACTGGGGCGATTCTTCGAGTTGCTGGTTGTAAGGCGAACTTCTTTGGTGATACTGATGGCTCACCGAGCAATTTTTATTACATAAATACCGAGATACAGTTATGAGTTTGGTCGTTCGGTGTGAAACGTTTGTTGCTGCAGATAGAGGGAAATGATATGTCAAGACTGCTCTTAGTTCAACCGAGTTATTTAACATATGAACACAGTAATTAAAATTGACGCAAAATAACCTCATCAGATATACGACGTATATCTGTTAAATTCATATAAAAGTTGAGCATTGCTTTTAGTATTTCGACTGTTTTGAAGTAGTGTGCATAAACTGACTGATATTTGACAAAAAATCCGTTTATCGAAATTCACCATCTTGTTACAGATAGAACAACATTTTCTGTATAAATTTCCCTCAATGGCTAATAGATGGTGAGTGGTGTATGGCATTTTGTATTTTAAGCTTTATTATTTTAGTTATCTGAAGCGATATAAAAGCTGACATTTGTATTACGTTACAGAGACAGTTTATCTTTACTTATGATGCACACTGTACACAAATTTCAGGAGTATTCAAACCAGTTAAATACAAACAGGTTAGTAAAGCCATTTACAGGCAAAATTACTTGTTAACTCTCGACGGTTCGAGCCACATTCGATGAGTTATTGTTTTATACGAGTTTTCCGACCAAAGTTCACGAGTCTATTGCTTGGCAATGGTAGCGATTATTAGTAAACGCATGATTGACATACAAGAGTGTCTTGTTTTGAATATCATGCTTTACCCAAGCATTGAAATTAACTGGAGCTGGTTACCAGGTTCAAACTCCAAGGAGTCTAGTACATAAAAGTCAGAGATAGCGCTAGGCAGGTGATAATACAATCAAATGACTCTCTTTCTTGAGGTGACGTAGATGATAGTGTCAAGTTAAGTTCACTGTATCAT